GTGTGGGGGTGTGAGGGTGTGGGGGTGTGAGGGTGTGAGGGTGTGGGGGTGTGAGGGTGTGGGGGTGTGAGTGTGTGAGGGCCAGGTGTGAGGGTGTGGGGGTGTGGGCACGCTCACCCTTGTAGCGCAGGTGGGAGTGGGCCATGAGCTGGTCGATCATCAGGTGCATCTGGCGCAGCTTGCGGGGACAGAAATCCTCTCTGCGGGCCTTGTTCTGCAGGAAGACTGGCGACAGGCAAGGTTAGCTCTCCGCCCGCGTCCCGGCCCACCGCAGGGCAGCTCTGGGGACCTGAAGGCTACCGTCCAGGAGGACAGGCAGGGACAGCTGTGTGATCCGGGGCGTGACGGGAGACCTGGGGGGGGGGGGGCGGGTGTGGGCACCTGCGTGCAGGATCACAGCCCTGAGAACTTCAGGGCATCGTCAGGGCAGAGTGGGCAGGACCCAGGACTGGAGGGGAAGCCGGTGCGTGGGCACCACCGCAGCCAGAGCCACTTCTCCAGCCCTGCAGCCCCGGGGCCGAGACACAGCCCGGTTCCTTCTCCCATCGAGCCCCGGCTGACCCTCCCCCTTCCCCACCCCAGAACTGTGCTCACCAACGTGGGGGTAGTACTCGGTGCCCTCATCGGAGCCCGAGGAGCTGCTGGACTCGTGGCTGGGGGACGGGGTGGACGGCTTCACCATCTCTGCCGTCTGCAGGAACCTGCAGGTGTGGAGTGACGGCGGTGAGCATGCCCGCGCATGCTCGCACACATGCTGGGAAGGATGCCCTCGGTTCTGACGGTTCTGCTCCTCACCGACTTTCTAGTCAGGGCCCCAGCGCACGGACACCTGCGCACCATCTTTTCACTGTGTTACTGCGCACTATCTTTTCCATGATGGGTGTGTGTGTGTGTGTGTGTGTGTGTGTGTGTGTGTGTGTGTGTGTACATTTAAAGTCGGGTTTATCAACATGTGTCTAGTCCCAGCCACTCGGGGCTTGAGGCCAGAGTGAGCTACACAGACACTGAGCCCCTGCCCTCCTGAGAAACAAACCAAGAATAAACCAGCCAACAAACCCCAAACCCACTTTCTGGCCCAGTTTAGGTTCACAGAGCAGCGTGCCATGCTCTGCCTCGCACAGCCAGCCTCCTCACAGATTCCTGAGACTGCCCACATGTGTGGCCACCTTGGTGCGGGCACTCAGCCCGGGTGAGGAGGCCCAGCACAGCAGGGTCGGGTGGGGTCCCTTCACTGGAGTCCCGCACTGTCCCTGGCTTTGCCTCCTCCAGGCTGTCACGTGGCCGGAGCGCACACTTTGCAGGGTCTTAACAATGTGCATTCAAGGTTCCTCCACTCCCTTCACAGCCTCTTCACCTGTCAAGGCGCGCTGGCTGCTCTGCGCAGCCTTCAGGAACGAAGCTGCTATAGGTATCTGCGCACAGGTCTCCCGGGGAGGTGTTTTCACCTGTGCTGTTCCCAACATCTCCAAGGTCTGATGGCAGACAAACCCGTACCTAACGGCAGTGAGGCTGTTGAGCACTGTCCTACAGCATTTCCCAGCCGCAAGGGCAGACCATGGCTTCTGAGCAGACCTGCTGCAGACCCTGGCAGAATGCCAACGCCACAGTGGGCACCTGCTCTGCGTTCTGCACGTGAGTGCCCAGGGCCCGGCACGGGGGCCTTTGGTTTATCTGTATGACTCAGTCGGGGGATGGCAGGAGGGGTGACTGGAGTGCACTCACTCAGGCTGGGAAGACTCCGCACTAGGCCCAATGCCAGGTGACCAAGGCAGCTCCACTGACCAGGTGCTGCCTGTGTACCAGGCACTGCGCCGTGCCCGTCACCAGGCGGACCGGGTACTGTGCCATCCCGGGGATGGGCCTGGTACTCTGCACC